GCATTAGTCGCCAAATAACCTTCAGCCCCACAGCAGCATCACGACATTCGTCTCACTGAGGCTACGCCATGCCCTCGTTTCACAGAGAGCTGGCGAAACAGGAGTGCATCTCGTCAGTGTGAAAAGGTCTCTTGTGACTGTAAGAAGGACGACTTTCTGTGACAGATGAAAGCTCAGCCCATTTTCTCCGGAATCGAAGGAAATTGCTTAGAGGAAAGCGGTAACCATGGGTTCTGGTAAGGCTGTGATTCGACTTTTCTTTTTAAATGAAAAGTTGACTAGAAAGAATTCTCAAATTGATTTCTCCAGAAACCGATGGAGACTTACCTTGGAGTAAAGATAATTATATTTACTCCGTGTGCTATCCAAAAAGCTGAGTATATATGCTTATGCTTATAATTACATTTCGATACACATGACTATTCGCATTAGTGTATGCGATATCCCAATAGGTGCGAAAAAATGAGTGGTTTCAAGGAATCTCTTGGTCTACAATAGATGAGCTCACTTCCACTTCGAGTGAAAGTGTGTGATGAGGAGATTTAGAGGTCGACCCCTTTAGAAATTGATTATGGATTCCTCTCGGCCAACTGTCATTTATGTGTAGAAAATCTGGGTCTATAAGACTCATTATTTCATTTTGTATGAAAAGTTGGTTGGAAAGAAGTCGTAAATTGGTCTCACTGGAGGCAAAATTAGGACCACCTTGCAGTGATGGCGGCTGGATTTTGTCAAGATGTCCTCGGCTCATCGTCCTGCGACCCAGAAACATCTGTGTTAACCCTTCATCTTTTTTTCTTTAGAGAACAAAACCATACGTTATGAACAAGCCCAACAATATAATGAATATATTGTGAGTTATGGATAATTCTGCACTTTTTCGTAAAGTGTGGTTTCTCGTTCCGACGATGTCTAACACAGGACGGGCGAGAGCTTAGTGCAATTGTATCGGGGTCAGAGGACGGGGAGCCGAGGACATCTTTGCAGGATCAAATAGCGCCCACTCCAAGGCGATCCTTATTTGGTGTCCGGTGCGAATTCCTTCAAGCCAACTTTTAATAAAAAAAGGGAAAGTCGAATCTTCGATACCCAGCTTTCCTTCACGTAAACGAGAGCTGGTCACTAGGAATCTATCACCGATTTCTGCTGGGATTGACCTCAGAATCTCCTCAGCATAGACTTTCACTCAAAATGAAAGTGTACTCAACTATTGTGAATCGAGAGATTTCTTAAAACCAAACTTTTGTCGCACCCTCTTGGGTTTCGAATACCTAAATGCGAGCAAGTATATGTATAAAATCTAGCCATTGACATAAGCATATCGAATCAGCTTTTGGGATATAGCTTCATATAGATACATATAGATATATAGTAAATCTGCCGTGCAAGTTGTTATGGCATAAACGATAATAATGGCATCGGCGTAGATATTTTTCCCGTCAAAAGCCATACTTAAGTAGGATCCTCACTGATATACTAAACTAAGCTAAAGGATGGTCGGCTTCAAACCAACTCCCTCCATATGCTCAATTTTTCTCATCTTTATCAGACGCCTTATTGATTGGTCGGTCACTTCATGCTTAACCTACGGGTATGGAGACGAGTGAAGCTGATGCAAGCAATCAAGAGGTGGATATGGCTGCAACCGTTTCTTCACTTAAATAAACAGCATATCATCCGGTGGTGTTGGCACACGTAAAGGCATGCGATAAAGGAAATGAGGGGAAATTCTTCACCAGTCGGATTATATATATAATGTATGTATGTATGTATGTATGTATGTATGTATGTTTGTTTGTTTGTTTGTTTGTTTGTATGTATGTATATATATATGTATGTATGTATGTATGTATGTATGTATGTATGTATGTATGTATGTATGTATGTATGTATGTATGTATAAATATAGATATTTTTATTTTTAACAAGTATGGTTTTTTGTTCTGAAGATGTCTGTCACGAAGGGACATGCGAAGATATGCACGTATCCTTCGGAGATGTATTACGGTAAGTCGAGGACCTCTGCACAATCCGATCGTTTTCACTCCGAGACAATCTTCCTTAGAGTTTCGGCGAAGAGAATTTCCAAATCCCTTCCAATGAATTCATCCTTTGAAAGGGAAGTCGAAACAAATTTAACTATTAAGAGAGTCATTCGGGACACATCCGTTGAAGGGGCGCTGGTTGAGGGGCGAATTAGTATGTGCCTCACATCGTGAATGAGTCGGCCAACCAACCTTGCTTTCGAAATGGACGCCCTCGGTGGTCACTCAACCTCACACCTGAC